GTACTTTTACCCGCTTGGAACAGAATTGCGTCTTCGATCCCCTGAGCTTGGATCCACCAGGCTCATTGAGCGGTGTGCCCGGCGCGCACGCATCTTCTAGCTGGCGGAGAAAGCAGATACAACAAGGACCTTCCCTGGGAGGAAAAGGATCAACAGAAACAAGAAAGTGCAAACCAAGTTTTTACCAAAGTTGCTATGTCCAAGGAACTAGTTCCACAAATATTTTCTCCGGCTAATCTAAATTTAGAAAGAGAAAAAGTTTTAATTATTTTCTTTGTTTATGGGACCAGAGGTTTGAGGAGGCTGACGAGGTAAGACAAGAAAAGCTTACCTGTTAGGGTTTTGTTTGGGCCGGTGAGAGAGGCGGTTTGAAGTTGCAGACACCAGCAATCTCCGTGTTTAATTACCAGGCGCTTCTCATAAATTGTCAAAAAGATCCTGTCTTCTGTCCTTACATCACCTGTTTGCTAGCTCTACTGTCAGACACCCAGGCCCTCCTTAGCTGTACTTATCTCAGGAAAAACATCCAAGAGGGATATTCTCCTAGCTGGCCTGCCAAAACCACCGGGCAGGCAGAGGATTTTTCCCCGCCCCAACCCTTCTTCAGTTCTTATGGCTGGACTAGTAATAAAATAAAATGTACACAAGGCTAGATTAATGGGAGAAAAACCAATTTAATATCTGCGCACCAAAGAATCACAGTACAGTGCTCAGATCATAAAATGTAGCCTAAAGAGAGAACCAGGCACCTTTTAATACTTTTTAGATAAAGAAGCAATAAACTTGTGAGAGATTGACAGGACAAAGAAAGAAAGTGCTCACTGGAAAGGGATCTAAGCAAGGTTGGGTGTTCATTAATGAGAAATTTAAACAAAGCAGTAATTAAAAGAGAGGAAATAAGAGTTGATTATACAGGTCTTTTTGGCTCTGAGTTGTTTAACTCTAGATATAGGGGTGTCTTCTAGGTGCGGGGAGGACACCTCTTACAGGGGAGATTTATTTCCTTCATTCAAGGAGACAAGAGAGGGTTGCTGGCTGCTGGCCAGGTAACTTTAATTCAAAGTCATCAATATGCCACTGTGGGATATTTTGGGGTGGCCAGTCTTGGGCCCCAACATATCCTTCTCTTCCTATTTTATTAGTGGATTTATTTTCAGGAATGGAGTTGAATTTTCAACATGGAGATGATGGTTTATTTTTTTTGACCCATTAACACGATCAATTATCATCACTACATATCCTGCTTCTGAACAAACTTTATATTTCTGGGAAAAACTGGACCTGATTTTAGGGTATTATTATTTTATCAGATTTGATTTGCTTACAGTTTAAGATGTTTGTACCTGTACTAATAAATGAGACTGATATATAGTTCTATTTTTTCGTGCTGTGTTTGTCAGGTTTGATACGTTCGATTCCTGGTCAGGGCACATGCCCAGGTTGTGGGCCCAATCTCCAGTGGGGGGCATGCAGGAAGCGGCCAATGGATGTTCTGTCTCATCGATGTTTCTATCTCTCTCTCCCTCTCACTTCCTCTCTCTAAAAAAGTCAATAAAGGGAAAAATAAATAAGACATGTATACAGTAAAAATGTCAAAGTTCATAAAGGGTCATACAACTGAATAGTTCTCCCTGGGAAGTCCCTTAGTTTCTTATCGGAGGCAACCACTGTTACCAGTTTCTTGTGTAGCTATTAGGATGCAGTCTGTACATATTCAAGCATACAGATTTAGTTATTCATATGGAAAAATATATAATAGAAGAATAAACTCTGTGTTTCACGTAATCACCACTATAAACCTATTTTTGCCCACCCCTGTATAGTTCCTTCCCCTACATCAGTGGTTCTCAACCTGTGAGTCATGACCCCTTTGGGGGTTGAACAACCCTTTCACAGGGGTCGCCTAAGACCATCGGAAAACACATATTTCCGATGGTCTTAGGAACAGAGACACCGCTCCTCTATCCGTCTCCAGGTGGGTCCGCCCACGTGCAGATACACCCACATACAACATGAGGAACTGTATTAAAGGGTCTCGGCATTAGGAAGGTTGAGACCCATTGCCATAGATAGTAGCATACCATACAAACTGCTCTTGCTTTTTATATATTTTTTCCCTTCAAAAATTCTCTTAAATTTCCTACTTCCTTTTTGAATTAATTTTGATCATTTTTTCTAGGAAACTGTCTGTTTTCTCAATATTTCCAGATAGTTGTACATTGTAATGTCCTGTGATTTAGAACAACTAGTAAAGTTCTATATACACATTGGCCTAAATGTAATCCCAATTCCATCACTCACAAAGTTTCTGAGTAATTCTGGGTAAATCATGACAGTCTTGCTGTACTGTAAACATTCATAGCCTAACAGAGAGTAATGACTGACTGTAAGTGTATTGAAGAATACTGAGTTAGGTCCTAGCCGGTGTAACTCAGTGGTTAGAGCATTGGCCGGTCACCGAAGGGTCGACGGTTCAATTCCCAGTCAAGGGCACATGCATGGGTTGCAGATTTGATCCCTGGCCCTGGTTGGGGCTGTGTGTAGGAGGCAACCAATTGATGTGTCTCTCACATAGATGTTTCTCTCCCCCCCCCCACACACACCTCCCTCCCTTCCACTCTCTCTAAAAAAAAAATTAAAAATATATTCTTGGATGAGGATTGACAACAACAAGCAATACTGAGTTAGTTTGCCAATTCTGTGACATATATCTGCAACTAAAAACATCATCCCTACTTTAAGAGCTCATCCCTGTATCACCCCTCCTTCCACAACCTCCATCCGGACTGTCTTCATAGCATATAACCTCACACCCAACCTGTTCCCTATCAGTTAAAGGAAGAAAACTGGCAGTTTTAGTCTGAATGCTGATGGCCTCAACTCTCATTTTATGGCCTGTCCTCTTCTTCACCCAGCATCAAGACCACCTAGAAAAGAGTGGTAGAGAGGCCAAGAGATGAGGTTAGGGGGCAGAAGTTGGGGCTTGCGGTTAGGGACAGAGAACTAATTGTAGAGGTTGGGAAGGAAATGGAAGAGGTTATCAATGGCCTCAGGGAAGTGAGAAGGGACCTGGTCATCCGATAATAAGTGGGGGAAATCAGGAGGGGTGGGGATGGCATTGGGGTGGGGGGCTCGTGGTAGGGGTAGAGTGGGTGTGGGAGGCTGAGGCTGAGACACTGTACATACTATTCTATTGTCATTTAAAAGGTATCATATCTACTGGTCTAAATTTCAATATCACTCCCATCAGTATTTGCACAAGTACTGAAAATGTCCTTGGTCAGAAGAATGATAAGAATATTTAAACAAAACAACACACACAACATTAATTTAGAAATTTCGTTCCACCACGTTCCAGATTATTTCTCCTTAAGTTGACTATTGGGTGTTTTCCTGGATTGCCTATTCAAAAATATAAAGTACTTCATTTCACAGCCTTCTCCTACCCTGTTTTTCAAAAGCTGAAAGCTGGTATTCACATCCCCAAAGGGCACTAGGAATCCTGGACACTGCTTAGTCAACACTGGATGTATGGCCTGACTTCGTTTTAGCTTAGGGTTCAGGTCAACTGGAGTCAGAAACATCTAGAGAAACCTGTGCTGAGGTTGGGACAGGCAGGGTTTTAAAAAGTTATTCTTAGAATAATCACCCTCTTTTAGACCTTGAACATATTCAGTACTTGCCCCAAATTGCTTAGCAACTTTGGAAGTTGTGGGTTAAAAGTTTGGACAATATCTATAGAGAAGCTGCCCCCTTCCCTCAAAGAGGGTGAGGGAGAAAAGTAATGTTGGAAGTCAGGAGACCGTACCCAAATTGATAGAAATCGAGGCTGTGGGAAGCGGCTAAGTAGCGGGATGAGAAGCATATGAGAAGCTGAGGGAATCGGCGGGCTGGGGGACAGTAGAGGGAGCAGTAGGTTAAGGAGGGCTTGATCCATTTTTTTCCTTTATTTTTTTGAGAGAGAGGAAGAGGGAGATAGAAACATCGAGATTAATAAGGGCTTTATCCCCCTTTAAAAAATGTTTTTATTGATTAGAGAGAGAGAGAGAGAGAGAGAGGAACATCACGAGAGAAACATAAATATACATCAGCCGCCTCCTGCACGCCCCCTGCTGGTGATGGAGCCTACACGCCGGGGCATGTGCTCTGACCAAGGAATTAACCGGCTACCAAGGGCGACCTCTTGGTGCATAGGATGATGCTCAAACAATGAGCCACACCGGCTGGGTCCTTTAAATTTTGTTTTTTTACTCTTTTGGCCTGACCGGTGTGGCTCAGTGGTTGGGCATAGACCCATGCACCAAGAGGTCGCAGGTTCAATTCCCGGTCAGGGCACATGCCAGGGTGGTGGGCCAGATCCCCAGTGGGGGGCATGCAGGAGGCGGCCAATCCGTGTTCTCTCTCATGATTTTTCTATCTCTCTCTCTCCCTCTCCCTTCCTCTCTCCCCCAAATCAATAAAAAAAAATTATTTTAAAAAGTTTAAAAATTGATTTTTTTTTTTCTTTAGAGAGAGAAGGAGAGGGAGAGGGAAATAGAAACATCAATGGGCTGTCTCCTGAACATCCTCCACTGGGGATCGAGGACGCAACCCGGGCACGTGCCCTGATCGGGAATGGACCCGCGACCCTGTGATGCATGGTGCACGCTCAATCCGCCGAGCAAGGGAACGCAGTGTCCCTGCGGCCGCGGTGGCCAGGCTTGTCCCGCGAGGTGCGGCGCTGAGCCGGCTCCCCAGCCGGAGACCGGTGCGTGGGGCGGGAACGCTGCCCTGGTCCCCAGATCCACGGAGCGAGCTGACAGTCGGGCTTGAGCGTGGAAGCGGGGACGCGTCCGGTGGTCCGCGGGCACGAAGGACACTGAAGGTGCAAGAACCTCTCGCCGGCACCCGGCGCCGGGCTCTCGCGCGCCTCCCGGTGACGCGACTCTCGCGGGACGACGCGTCAACGGCTCCGGCCTCCACGTCGTAGGTTCGCAAGGGTTTGTGGGAGCGGCCAGGGAGCAGGAGGGCCAAGATGGCGGAAGCGGCGGAGTCTCCTGGAGACCCGGCAGCAGCGTCGACCAGGCCCCTGGTGAGCTGGGGATCTGCGACGAAAGGGACCGAGGGTGAGGCGGAATGTCCCTTAAGGAAGTCGGGTGACGGGCTCGTGGCCTGAGAGAGCCCGAACCCCTTCGTCCCGACAGGCCCTTCCTGGACCCGATGGCAGAGCCGGTCCCGACACTGCACCTGTTCTTGGGGCTGCCCGCTCCGTCCCTGTCCTCGCTCCTTCCACGCCGGCTTCTGAAGCTCCCATTCACTTTCCTCCCCGGGCTCCCAGGGCTTGTCCTCGTCCCCTCCACTGTTAAATGCTGAGCTGTGGGTGATTTCCTAAGTTAGCTTTGCGTCTGCCGTCCCCTAGTTTTATCAAGACCTGTCACTAGCCGGTGCTGCAGTAGCAGCATTGTAGGGTTAATGAGAGATCGCAACGTGGTCACTTGGTTATTGATTTGTGCAGGGACCCGAGTAATCTTGGTTTCATCCCTGCCCTCCCTGTCGCAGCTCCTTGAGGTTCTCATGATGCTCTCTGGCTCCCGGGGATGTTTGTACAGGGGGTTGTATTTCTTTTGCACGTACAAGCCCAAAGCCTGGACGGGTATTTAATAACACAGGTTTTGGAGTTAAATTTACCAGGACTGGCCCTGGCCGGTTTGGCTCAGCGGTTGGAGCGTCAGCCTGCGGACCAGAGTGTCCCAGGTTCGGTTCCCGCAGGGGCACGTACCAAAAACAAAACAAAACAAAACAAAACTTACCAGGACTGGCATCACCCACCCTGCTGCTTGTGTGATTTGGGGCAAGTCATTTCATGGAGAGTATGTCTTCATCTCTAAAATGGAGATTAAAAAGAGGAGCCTCGAAGAGTTTTTAGGAAGACGGAATGACATAATTTATGTAAAGTGTCTAATACAATCAGTGCCATGAACTGAGGAGTGTAATTAACCCAACATTGTGTCCTTAAGTCCCTTATCCTAAACAGGGTTCAGTTATCTCCCAGTGTTTAGTTATATAGCAGTTGCTCAATAAATGGTACATCCTATTTCTCTGGTGTTTCTTTTTTGTTGTTTTTAAAACATTTTATGTATTGTTGACAGTATTACAGATGTCTCCCATTTTCTCCCTTTTTGCCCCACCCCACCCCATTTCTTCCCAAGTCCTCTGTTTTAAATTGGCCATATAGAAGAGGACTGAAATGGGAGTCAGGTAAAACTGATTGTATTCCTGCTTCAGCTTACTAACTCTATTTGTTCACCTCTTCATTCACTCAATAAATATTTATTGAGCATCTACTATGTTCCAGGCACTCTTAGGCACTGGGGATACAGCAGTGAAAGAGACTAAGTAGGCCCAAGTTCTCATGGAGCATTTGTTACCTTGAGAAATCATTTTGAACCCGTTTCCTCATTTGAAAAATGGAGATGATAACTCATCACACAATTAGTCAGAGTACTGAATGAGCTAATATACACATAGTGCCTGGGTGACATAGTTATAAGTGCCCAGCTGTTGTTAGTTCCTGTCCTTCATTTAAACTGCTCCACTGCTCTTTTAATGAAGATTTCCCTGATTTATTTTACTGGTTCTGGTCACTCATTACTCAGTATCCAGTCCACTTGTATTCAACGTTTATTGAACTCCTACAATGTGTAATACACTGTGCCAGGTGCTTTAGGGACTACAAATGGCCTGCTCTTTTGGTGCTTACAGTCTAATTTGTAGGGATAAGACAAATGTACACTGTTAAAATAAGGCAGAAAACATTAACAAAATGTAAAAGAAGATGCATCATGTCTAGTTGGGGTGATGATGAAGGTATATGGTGAAGGTATATCTGAGAGTGCCTCAAAGGATGGGTACAATTTGAAATTCCAGGTGAGCATAATAATTATAAATGATTGAGTACCTGCTACATGCCAGGTTGGTGTTCAACACCCTGTGCATATTTTCTAAACATCACAGCAACCATTTCCGTTAGGTTGTTTTTAAACTGTGTATTACTTGCACCTGAGGACATGAGACTCAGAGAGGTTTGACAATTTCTCTAGGTCTTACCAGCAGTTGGTCAGGCCTGAACTTTGAACCTCAGTTTGCTTCCGAAGCCCAGATTATTTCCAGTAGTACTACACAGCCTCTTATCGGCAAAGGTACAGAGGTTGGAAGGTCCTACTCTATTTCTAGAAAAACAGAAAGATCACTTTGGCTGATCACAAGCAAGTATTAGGAGGTAAGCCCTGAAAAATAAGGCTAATGAATTAGAGGCAGTGTGAAACAGTGGTTAGGAATGTGAGCTCTGGGGTCAAATTGCCTAGGCTTGATTCTAAGCTCTGTCATTTAACTATCTGTGGGACATTGGGGAAATTTCCAGACCCCTCCACACTGCAGTTTCCCATCTGGAAAATGGAGATATAGTAATCCTTAGGTAATAAGTTTTTAAATGAATTAGATGAGTTAACACATGTAAAACCCTTGGTATAGTGCCTGACACACAATAATCATGCAATAAGTGTTCTTTTTTTTAAATTTTAAATCCTCACTCAAGGATACCTTTATCCACTCAATTTGGGGGGGGGGGACAAGAGGGAAGGAGGGAGGGAGGGAGGGAGAGAGACACACATCGATTGGTTGCCTCTTGCATGCATCCCAACTGGCCAAGGATCGAACCTGCAACCCAGGTACATGCACATGACCGGGAATCGAACCCAAGACACTTTGGTCTGAGGGCTGACGCTCTAACCACTGAGCAACTCCAGCCAGGGCATAAGTGATACTTCTTATTGACTACTAAGCTGGGAGTTGTTTTCTTTTTGTTTTTATTTTTATTTTTTAGTCTTTATTTTTGAGAGTATTACAGATGTCCCCCCTTTATTTCTCCCATTGCCCCCTTCCACCCATTTCCCACCCCAGGCCTTCACCACCCTATTGTCTGTGTCCATGGCAACCCCCTCCGTCCTTCCCTTTGAGACTCATCAGTCTATTCCATGTTTCCTTGCCTCTGGTTCTATTTTATTCATCAATTTATTGGGTTCATTATAGTCCACATATAAGTGAGATCATGTGGTACTTATCTTTCTCTGACTGGCTTATTTCATTTAGTGTAGTACTCTTTAGGTCCCTCCATGCTGTCTTAAAGGGTAATAGCTCCTCTTTTATAGCCACATAGTATTCCATCGTGTAAATGTACCATTACTTTTTTTATCCATTCATCTACTGGTGGGCACTTTGGCTGTTTCTAGATCTTAGCTATTGTAAATAGTGCTGCTATGAACATGGGGGTACATATATTCTTTCTGATTGATGTTTCAGGCTTCTTAGGATATATTGCTAGAAGTGGGATCACTGGGTCAAATGGCAGTTCCATTTTTAATTTTTTGAGGAAACTCCACACTGTTTTCCATAGTGGTTGCCCCCATCTGCATTCCCACCAGCAGTGCACTAGGGTTCCTTTTTCTCTACATCCTCGCCAGCACTTGTTGATTTATTGATGGCAGCCATTCTGGCAGGTGTGAGGTGATACTTCATTGTCTTTAAGCTGGGGGGTTTACTAGGCAGTGGGAAGCCAGTGGAAGTTTTTGAGGAGGGAACTGTTTAAATCATGAATTTGACAACATAATGGAGGAAGAGTTACCATGGGGAATGTCTGGAATCTAGGAGAGCAGTGGTTCTAGGAAGATGGGATGGCTGCCTGGACTACAGCAGTGGTGGGAGACAGGATTCCAGAAAGGCGGAATCCTCGAGGGTTTTCGGTGCTTGGAAGTATCTTAGGTCAGTTTTGCAAACTTGAGTGTGCATAGCCTTCATCTGGGGAATCATGTTATACTGCAGTTTCTGATTCAGTAGGTCCAGGATGGGGCCTGCGATTCTGCATTTCTAACAAGCTTCCCCAGGCTGCTGCTGCCGCTGCTCTCAGTCACATTTTGAAAAGCAAGGCAGTAGGCATATGGGAGGATAGTGATGCCCTAAACAGAAATACATAGGAGGAGGGGGGCCCTAAAAGTTGATTCATTCAGTTTTGTACACATTTAGTTTGAGATACTGGCAGGCCATCCAGTAGCTATCCAACAGGCAGTTGGACTCTAAAATCCGGACTTCAAGACTCAGAAGAGGTCTGGGCTAGAGATGTTCATTTATGGGTTATCTGCACAGAGTTGGAAAGACAGGGTCTTGGATAATGCCTATCTCTTGCCTGTATATCTAGGGAGCAGGGAAAAGCTGTAATAATAGCTGTAGCCTGGGATCAGTAAGGAAGCTGGTCCCAGGTGAAGGGACTGCTTGAGACCATGCCACTGGCCACTCCTCTCCACTTCTTGGAACTAGGCCTCTTGGACTGAGCTGCTTCCTGCTTGATGCTGTCCCACCCCTGCCCTTGTTGATTCTTCTCTCTCTCTTTCTCTCCAGGATTTTAGTTCTTAGTATAACCCATTTTCTCCCAGCCACTTTCTTAAAGCTACAGTCCCTACTATGTTTTTGGCCCTGCCTATACCTGCTCCCAATATTTGCCCAAGCCAGGCCACAAAGTGAGCATGTGTATTTCTGTGCACACATGTACATACATGTGCATGAGCCTGCCTACATAGGATCAAGGGAAAGGACATAGGGTCCAAGCCACCTTTCATGCCCACTGAGAGGACTAGTCAGGGAGTAAGGCCCACTAACTGAGGTCCTGCAAGTCCTGTTTGTCTTACCTGGTTCTGGAGGGCCACAGATCCTGGCTCGGTTCAGTGAACAATGTCAGTAATTCTCTTGGGAAGCGATATTGAGGAAGGGTTGGGATGGGGGATAGGGTGGGAATCACATGGCACTTTTGTGACTGCTGTGACTTCTGAAACCAGCTAGCTGGAGTTAGGTCAAATTTCATAAGCCACAGTCTTCCACAAGACTGTCCTGCCTTTAGACACCAGCCACAGGTTCAGAGGTTCCCAGGACCATCCTCACTTCTGACCTACTGGCTACCAGTTCAGGCTCAGGACAGCACTATATTTAAAATTACAGTTTTGCCCAGCCGGTGTGGCTCAGTGGTTGAGTGTCTGCCCATGCACCAAGAGGTTGCTGGTTCAATTCCCAGTCAGGGCACATGCCTGGGTTGTGGGTTCGATCCCCAGTGGGAGGTGTGCAGGAGGCAGCCGATCAATGTTTCTCTCTCTTTCTAAAAAAAAAAAAAAAAAATCAATAAGAACATTTTTTTAAATTCTTAAATAAATAAATAGTAAAATCACAATTTTATTATAGCAAAAGGATACAGTTCAACCAGCAAAAGAGGGAGATGCTTAGGGTGAGGTCTGGGAGGGTCCTTAACACAAAGCTTCCTTGTCTGCTCCCTGGGGAGTCAGAACCCTGTTACCCTGACATATCAAAGTGTGGCAACATGAAGAGTATTACCCACCAGGGAAGCTCGCCAATGCCTCTAGAGTTTTTATTGGGGTTCATTATGTAGGCATGATTGACTGGGTTATCAGCTCCTCAGAGGCCTGGTTTATGACACATTCAAAGCCCCAACCCTTAAACTTGTGTTTGGTCTCTCTGTCTAGGAGCCTACCATGACTCACCTGTTAGCTAACCTGTTAGGGCCCAGGAACAGGCGACAAAGGCTAGCCACATTTTTTATTATACAACAGTGACAGAACTGGAATGACCTCCCTGGGAATCTCAGACTTGCGCTAACATTGATCTAGCCCCTATTGTGATTCTGTTGAGTGCTTTACATGTATTAAAACATTTATTTCTCACAGCAACCCTGTAATGATGGCATCGTGGTTTCAGTTTTCTACATGAAGGTTAAGGAATCTGCTCAAGGTCACACAGGTAGTAAAGGATGGAGCTGAGATTTGAACCCAGAGTTTCTGGCTCCAGAAGCCTGCAAAATTCTCCAAATACAGTACATTGAGCATTGACTGTGTGCTACGTGTTAGCTAATTTGTATAGCAGTGTTTACAGGTGAGGGCAGAGCCCTGTTTATCTTCGAAGCCTATTCCTTCTGCATTGCCCTGCCTCCCCTAGCAGTAGCAGGCAGCAAGAGAACACAAAACAAGCCATCCTGGAGCATTGCTGCATTCACAAGGGATTCATATACACTTACTAGATACCGCCATATTCATCTTCAACAGCGCGTAGTACCATTTTGTGTCCCCACAGCAGTGGGAGTGTTCTTTCCCCTCAGCTTCAACTGCAGAGTATGTTATGAAACTTTAGGAGTTTTGCCAGTCTAACAGGTGAAACTTTTTATTTCAAAAAGTTTTAATTTGCATTTCTCTTGAGAGTTGATTGAGAAGTTGATTTTTTAAAAATATTTTTTTATTGATTTTTTAGAGAGAGAGGAAGGGGGAGAGGGATAGAAACATTGATGTGAGAAGGAAACATCAACCGGCTGCCTCCTGTATGCCCCCCACCACGGGGATCAAGCCCACAACCTGGGCAAGTGCCCTGACCGGGAATCAAACCAGGACCTGTCAGTCCACGGGACAATACTCAGTCCACTGAGCCACTCCGGCTAGGTGAGAAGTTGATTTTTATAAGTTCTTTGAACATTATTATTATTATTATTATTATTTTAATTTCTGTATACTGTCTTGTATTTTATTTATGTTACCCACGAAATATTGTGCCTGTTGGGCCAAAAATCATATGAGAAAGGATTGCTTCTGTTTTCTTAGCAATTTGAAGATTGCAGCGTTTCAGTCACAATAATCAAATTTGGCAGATGAACATAAATGTTTAGAGGTTTGAAATCTTGCAGTTCACTTTGGAAATGTTACTTGATCTTGGTTGCCAGGTAACCTAGCAAAAGGAATATAGATCAGGATGTATTTTGCTGTTTCCCTGTTCTTCCCAGTTTCTCTTTAGGCTTCACATGATGCTCCATTTTAGCCAGCAGAGGCCACTAAGGAGCAGAAGTGCAACAGAACTGTGGCTGTGCTGATAGGATTGCTGACAGGTCACAAATAGCCCAGAGTCTTGCTAGCTTGTGCCATGTGAAGATTTCATGCTTGGAATAAGCCAGATATTTGAGGGCAAGAAATGTCTATGTCATTTGTGTCATAATTTTTTCCATCATATGCGATCTCCTTTAAATGAAAAGAAATAAACATTTGCGAATTTTAGTTAACTGCATTGTTTGTCTGGTGGGCTTTTACTTTAAAAACCCTACAGTTCTCACTTATTGGTAGGATATAATGAACAAAATAAGCTGATGAACAAAATGGACCCAGAGACATAGAAAACAGTACGGTTCAGACTGACAAACCTCAGAGGAGGGGGCAGAGGGGATGGATGAGATAAACCAAAGAACTTATATGCATGTATGGGTAACCGATGGACACAGACAACAGTGCTGGGGGAGGGGCAGGATTGGGAGGAGGGTGTCTAGGGGGAAAAAAGGAGAAACATCTGTAACAAAAATAAATTCATAAAAATTGGGAAAAAAATAAAAACTAAAAACCCTACAGAAACGCGTAGTCCCTACTCTCTAGGAAATGATGATGTCTTTAAGGAATGTTGCAATTAATTACAGGCTTTAAGTGCTTTTTTTTAACTCTTCTTAGTTCGCAGGCCTTTCAGATATATCCATCTCACAAGATATCCCTGTGGAAGGAGAAATCACCATTCCTATGAGATCTCGCATTCGAGAATTCGACAGCTCCACGTTAAATGAATCTGTTCAGAGTACCATCGTAAGTTAGACTAGTTGAGAGGATTTCTGTTCGGTGTCAGGGGACTAAATAACTAATAGCACTTGGTCATATTTTTGTTTGGTTCATTGACTTTCAGTGTATTTTATTTATTGAAGTTTCAGATTCTGTCCTCGAGAATAATGTGGTACAGCCTTTTTGGAAATCAGTTTGGCTATAGTGGGTATTAAGAATCTTAAATTTTCCAAATCTCTTTAGGCTGATTGTTCTGCGTCTCCAGATATAGTATAAAGATAAATTCTTTTAAGTAGAAAATTTTTTTTATTAATTTCTTTTTTTAAAATGCTTTTTATATTTTTAAAAATTAAACTTTAGCCCTGGCCGGTTTGGCTCACCGGTTAGAGCGTTGGCCTGCGGTCCAGAGAGACCCAGGTTCGTTCCCGCTAAGGGTGCGTGCCTTGGTTGCAGTTTGTCCCCGGCCCTGGTTGGGTCATGCAAGAGGCAGCCACTCGATGTTTCCCTTTCACGTTAATGTTTTTTTTTCTCTCTCTCTCTCTTTCTCCCTCTCCCTCCCACTCTATCTGAACAAAAAATGGAAAAATGTCCTCGGGTGAGGATTTAAAAAAAAAAGTTAAACTTTACATTCAGTATTATTTTGTAATAATACTGAAATTTTTGAAATTTCAGGTGTACAGCATAATGGTTAGAAAATCATACTTTACAGTGTTTCTCCCGATATTTCCCGTAGAAAAATATTTTTTTAAATACTGAAAAATGTTAATATGCAAAGATATTCGTTACGGCATTCTTTGTAATAGGGAAAAGTTGAAAAACAGATGAAATTATGTTACATGTAGGTAGTAGAATGCTAAACAGTTGTTTAAAATCACGTTTACAAAGAACTATTAATGACATGAAATTTCTAGGTGAAAGTTTAGGATGGAATTCTCTCAACTACATTTTGAGAGATTATATTACTGTCCCCTTTCTCAGATGTCTTGATTATTAGGTAACTTGGCTTCTAGGATTTATTTGCTAGTTAAATTGGGAATGTTGAAAATTAATTTACTTTCTGTATTGTAGAGAATAGGGTGGCTAGGGAGCAGGCTAATTGGCCCTTGGGATGTCATTGTGTATAAACTGAACGTCAGCTCCTATGTTTTGCAGAACAGATTTTAGTTTCTATAAGTAGCATTATTAGGAGGGCTCTGTTTCTCTTTTACAGAGTTCTAAAAATCAAAACAGGACTGGTGGGTGTGGTCAAGATAGATGTTGGCTTAAGGAGTTCATAGGAACATCCTGCCTCTCTGGGTTGTTTGCATAGTGACGGGGTTAAACTTGAATTTAAGCTCTAAAATTTGTTCCACAAAGGACTCCCAGGAGATTGAAATAAAAGAAATTTTAGCAAATTAAGTTAGGAGGCTGCCTAGAAACCTTGGTTCTCACAGTATAATAGTTGTTCATGTCTTTCAGATGCGTGATCTAAAAGCTGTTGGGAAAAAATTCATGCATGTTTTGTACCCAAGGAAAAGTAATACTCTTTTGAGAGATTGTAAGTATGAGGCTTGCTGCTTCTCATCACACCTTCTCATAAGCACTTCATGAGGCACAGGCTCTGTGGTGATAAAACTGACATCATTTTACAGTGTGAAAAAACATCTAAGTGAATATATAAATGAAAGTTTTGGAAGAAATTAAAATTTAGAATGGAATTTCAGAGATTGTCTTCACCAGTAATCCTACACCATATCCTCACCTGCTATAATGGACACTGTAAAAAGTATTTCTGGAAGCTGTGAGCACCTAGGGGCTTCGTTCAACCAAATTGCTCACAATCCTCAAGGAAAAGGCAAAATGTTCAACTGCTCAATTACAATAATAGCTAGTACCCATTAAGGATTAACAAATTAATAGTACCTTTATTGACATTTCTATTTTTAGAAGCATCATCTAGTCTGATGACTGCTTTCTTTGTTCAAGATTTCTGTCAACAATGTTTGCAATAAATTAGGCTGTTGTTTAGAATTGATTCTTCAAACTGTTGGACCTTTTTCTTTTCTTATCAAGCATTCTTGGTTTTCTTAGTACCCTTTATCAGAAAACTTGAATTAGGTGCTTGAGAATCCTTACAACAGCCTTGTGAAGGAGGAGTTATTGTTAGTGTTTTACAGGTTGAGAAAAGGAGTCTCAGAGAAGCTGAGCGCCTTGTCAAGATCACACAGGAGGATGAGGACCTAGTTTTCAAGTTCAGCACCCTTTCCAATCTCCCACTACCACCCCAGATGTGAAGATACTTTTAACTGCTGCTCTGGTTCAGTTCAGAGCAAGGGTGCTTCTCGCAATACAGAAGCAGTGTGCCAGTCTGCTGATTAGTGATGAATACTAGCTTCTGTCATATGTTAGGGTCCCTTCTCAAATCTTGTGGGGATAGATAAATAGGCCGGCATGAAGGGTGAGCAAGTCACAGCCATAATTTGCACTCCGCCTTGCCCTGTTATAGCCGTTGGCAAAGTGGCAAGGAAAAAGTTCCTGAGCTGGGGATGGGGTAGCGGGGAAGGGGAGGAGGGTGTCAGTGGGGGAAAAATGAGAAACATCTGTAACAAAAACAAATTAATAAAAACTTTAAAAAAATAATCTAAAAAAGCCCTGGCCGGTTTGGCTCAGCGGTTAGAGCATCGGCCTGTGGTCCTGAGAGACCCGGGTTCGGTTCCTGCTAAGGGCATGTACCTCGGTTGCAGTTTGTCCCCGGCCCTGGTCGGTCGTGCGGGTGGCAGCCCCTCGATGTGTCCCTTTCACGTCGATGTTTCTCTCTCTCTCTCTCTCTTCCTCCCATTCTACCTGAACAAAAAATGTCCTCGGGTGAGGATAAAACAAACAAACAAACAAAAATAATCTAAAAAATAACTCCCGACAACACAGTAAGATCCCACTTCACACCCATTAGGATGGCTGTTATCAGTCAAAGAAACAGACAGTGAGAACTGTTGGTGAGGATATGGAGAAACTGGAACCCCTGTACATTGCGGGTGCTGCTGGGAGCGTGAAACGGTGCAGCTGCTGTGGAAAACAGTGCAGTGGTGCCTCAAAAACGAACCAGAGAATAACTCCAGCAATTCCACTTCTGGGTGGTGCCCACGAGAATTGAAAGCAGGGACTTGAACAGATATCTGTACACCCATGTTCATAGCAATATTATTCACAATAGCCAAAAGGTGGACACAGACATGCATTGATGGATGGATGAATAGATGAAATGTGGTGTACGCACCATGATGTGTACCATATATGGATAGAATATTACTTAGCTTAAAAAGGAGTGAAATTCTGACACGTGCTACAACATGGATACACCTTGAAGACATCATGCTATGTGAAATATACCAGACACCAAAGGACATAGAGTCTATGATTCCACTCATATACTGTATCTAGAGTGGTCAACTTGATAGACACAGAAAGGAAAATGATAGTTGCCAGGGCCTGAGGGCAGAGTGGAGAGCTGCTGTTTCGTGTTGGAGTTTCAGTTGGAAAGATGAGAAGTTCAGGAGGTAGATGGTGGTGGTGTGCAACGGTGAATGTACTCAATATCTGCACACTTAATAGTGACTACAGGATGGATTTTGTGTTTTTTTATGTATATATGTTTTACAACAAAAAGAAAATAATTTTAAAATACTGTTACAGAACGCTGGCAGGTTGGCTCAGTTGGTTATGGGTTCGATTTTCTGTCAGGGCACATGGTTGGGGTGTGTCCAGGAGGCAACCGATCAATGTTTCTCACATCGATGTCTCTCTCTCTCTCCTTTTCTCTCCTCTTCTCCCCCTCTCCCCTCATCCCCCTTTTCCCTCTCTCCCTCTCTCCTTTCCTCCTTCCCTTTCTCTTCCTCTCTAAAATCAATAAACATATCCTCGGGTGAGGATAAAAAAAGTCATTAAAAAATAATGTTGCAGCCCTGGTCGGTTTGGCTCAGTGGTTGGAGCGTGGGCCCACAGACCAAGAGTCTCGGGTTCGATTCCAGTCAAGGGCATGTACCTCAGTTGCAGTTCAGTCCCCGGCCCTGGTCAGGGTCAAGCAGGAAGCAACCAATCGATGTGTCTCTCTTGCATCAATGTTTCTCTCTCGCTCTCGCGCGCTCTCTCTCTCTCAATCTGTCTCTCTCTCGCTTTCCCCCCTCCCCCCTCCCTTCCGTTCTTCCCTCCCTCCCACTCTATCTGAAGATAAATGGAAAAATGTCCTCAGGTGAGGATTAAAAAAAATACTGTTGCAGATTTTTTATGAATTAAAAATATTTTAAATGCATTAAAAAAGTTAGTGTCTTCATGTCAAGTTGTACTTGAAATCAGTTTTTCATTTGAAAGGTGTACATATGCATTCTTTCAGATAAAGTTATATACATGTGAGGAAGGTAATTGTGCTGTAAGCTGCATATTACTGAACCGTTGCCATATTAATCACCAGTCACTGTTGATTGAGAACCACTTTGGTTAGACCTGCTGTTGGCATAGCCTTTTATAGTTTTCAGAAAGTGGTTATGTTATTTGTTAATGTTTAACCTTATAGCCCTGGCTGGGTAGCTCAGTTGGTTACAGCATTGTCCCAATACCCCAAGGTTGCAGGTGTGATCCCGTCAGGGCACATACAAGAGTCAACCAATGAATGCCTAAATACGTGGAACAACAAATTGATGTTATTCTCCCCCCACCTCAAATCAATAAAGGAATAAAATAAAAAAGTTTAACCTTATAAGATTACCAATATTGGACTGATTTTTTACCTATAAGAGCAGCAACTCCGTTCTAGTTCAATGTAATACTTACAAAGGGGAAGCAATGTGGCAGATGGAAAGAACCTCACAGTAGTAATAAAAAAGCCTTGGTTGTGGGCCCACCTCTGTACCTAACTGTTCATATAAACTTGGGAAAGTGATGTCCTTCTCAGCTTTATTTTTCATATTTGTGAGATGGACCTGATGATACTTGCCTTGTCTAATGTAGTCTCAGATTGGTGAAGTGATTTGAGTCTAGTCTTCTTTCTGAGGGTACTCGTCATCCATTGGTCTTTATAGCCTGCTGGAATGTGACTTGTTGGGGAGAGGGGTGATTTGCGGGACATGAAATGAACAAAACTTAAAGGATCTATAAAGAAGGACATTCAGCATTGGGAGGCAGGGAGGGCAAGTAAAGGGGTAAGAGGAGAGAAGGCTTGGGCAGGCAGACAGAGCATTGATGTCTGAATTCCAAGAGTGGGAGAGGTAGATTTTGGAATCAAGACAGAAAACACTACATGGTTATTTCTTAACAATATCTTCTGCCTTTTCTTCCCTTGTAGGGGATTTATGGGGCCCTTTGATCCTTTGCGTGACACTCGCATTGTAAGTACACATATTTCCTTTGTCATTTGAGATAGACTAGACTTTTTGGAGGCATTTTAAAATTGAGGGAAATTTTGACTGAATATTTTATTTACGACTTCTATGACATACTGTATTTCTTACGTATTTAAATCTAAAAAGTCGAATAGCTTTCCAGGTCATTTCAAAAAGTGATGTAATTGAAGATGTCAACATTATATCTACTTCCATTTACCAATGACTTCTTAGCCTGTTTTAGCTATTTCTATTGAGCAAACATTTATTTACTCTCATATACATCCATATCATTAAGTGAATGAAATATCTATAGGTTCAAACACTGTTGATTTGCACATAGAGTTCTTTTTGTTTTATTTATTTGTTTCTTCATTTTTTTATAGGAGCTAACTTTAAAAAAATATTTTTTATTGACTTTTTAGAGAGAGAGGGAGGGAGAGATAGAAACATTGATGTGAGACAGAAACATTGGTCAGCTGCCTCCTGCACGCCCCCTACTGGGGATCAAGCCTGCAACCCAGGCATGTGCCCTGACCAGGAATTGAACTGGGACCTCTCAGTCCATAGGACGATGCTCAACCCACTGAGCCATGGCAAACATAGTTCTATGGGCAAACATAGTTCTTTTTAAATCTTACCAAGATATGAATGAGAAGGAGAATATATTAGAGAGAAGTGGTAGAGTTCGAAGCAAGATCATATTTCCATAAGTGATGCTTTCCATATGCACTGTATGTAAAGGAAGACTCAGGAGAGCCCAGTTCCATTGGCGAGGGGAATATAACACTGGTCTAGTGGAAAAAATCCTGTCCTGGGATCCAGTTGTCAATTCTCATCCTGACCGCTATCAGCAAAGTGACTTTAGGCTATTAATAATCAAAATCTGTATAATGATTTTTTCCAGAAAACTTTAAAATACCTTTTCTTATTTTATCCTTGTAATAAGACGTGAATGTTATTTTCCCTTTTCAACAAACGTAGGTTCCTAGAGAGGAGGATGAACCAAGATCACATAGTCAGTGGTAGACCTGGGATTCCACCTCAGGTTTCCTCGACTGCCCATTCTCTACCTCCGTGACTGTTTCACTGTCTTCCTGCCTAACCTCTCTGGGTTTTCTCTTTGTTATCTGTAAAAGGAGATGGTTGAGGGTCCTTTCAAGGCCTAACCTTTTATGATTCTAAATTCAACAAGTTTCTTACTGGCTTCTGTACCCATTTTTTCATGTGTCAAGCATATGCTGATTTAGATAATAACATGGAGGGCTATTTTTTTATGCCTTTAATAAGCGTAACAAGGAAATAATTCAGTGCCTTAATGGAAGGGTTTATATTAGAAGCTCTGAGCATATACTTTTTTTACTTTTCAAAGATTATCCTTAGAAATTATGTCATTTAACCCCACTTATTTGCAGAGAAGAAAACTGGAGTCCTAGGACATCAAGCGATGTGCTCCAGTTTACATACCTAGTGGCAGAACTAGGATCAGTGTCCGGCTCTTCTGTCTTCCAGGACAGTTCCTGTCTTTTTCGGTGCACCATGCTGAAGTAGTAGGGGTTCCAGACCGCACATAATCATGAGGGCTGGTATGCTTTGCATCAGCTTCTCAGGACGCAGGATGGAGTATGCACAACTGTAGAATACAGAAGCCTGGGCTGGCAAACAGCATAGCAGGGCAAGACTTACTATGTGACTTCTCTATACTATGGCGTAAGAAGAGGTCATGAATTTGGTGTTACTTATGACTTTTCTAAAAAAATAACACTGAGTGCAAGTGTTCTAGGTCCAAAATTCAAGACAATTGACACCTGTAAAATTCTTAGACCAAGGAAAGATATTTAAGTGACTGTTCAACTACTCAATTTGAAAACAAAGTCTTTTAGTAATAATCTGTTTATTTTGATTTTTAAAAATCAACAACTAAAGAGGTTTATAGCCCAGCTGGTGTGGCTCAGTGGTTGAGCATCAACCCATGCACCAGAGGTCGCTGGTTTGATTCCCGGTCAGGGCTTATGTCTACGTTGTAGGCCCAATCCCCACTGGGGGGCATGCAGTCGATGTTCTCTCTCATTGATGTTTCTCTCTCCCTCTCCCTTCCTCTCTCTCTAAAAAAAATCAATAAAGAAAAAAAAAAGTTTAAAAAAAGAGGTTTATAGACTGTTTCCATTTTTAAATGTCAGAACTAAAACCTTAACCCAGGGATTACAAATTCATGTGTGTCTAAGGGCTAGAGAAGTTAGGTGAATGTGTACATTGTGAATTGGTGACTGGAAGCCCCTTGTGAGGGAACCTGCTGCTATGGCAACTGCACCTGGTTGTTGTCATGTAGGAGTGCTAGCTCGCTGTTAGAAACTCCTCTGATTCGGCAAGAATGTCCAGAAATAGGCCCTGGCTGGGTACTCAGATGGTTAGAGGTTTGTCCCGATATGTCAAGGTTGTGGGTTCAGTCCCCGGTCAGGGCACATATAAGAAGCAAGCAATGAATGTAAATAACTGGAACAACAAATCAGTCTCTCTCAAATCAATAAATAACAAAAGAAAATCTAGAAATACATTATTTTTATGTGAAACTTCTCAATTTTAAAATAATGTCACCTTGAATTGAAAAGCATTTCAAGTATTGTGTGGACTACAACCTCATGTCTGAGCCACATCTGACCTTTCAGTTTATAACCTCTGCCTAACCAAAAAAGGTCTTCAGTGATCCGTTTAAGCATTCCGACAAAGCCAAATGGAGCACCCCTTGTACTCCTGAGGCATTTGGAATTTGAAGGAAGGGAGCCTTGCCAAATCCTTCTGGAATTTTCCTTTCACACAGCCTACATATTACAGATCTTCAGGTGAGGTGTAGGGCAGCTCCCTGGTTCACACTTGGAGAACCCACTCCTTAACTCGATTGCTCGAAGTAAAAGAGGAGACCGTTCTCATGCCGTTTCCTTGTCACAGAATGCTTCAGAGAGGCTCTGCAGATAGTGAGAATGATGGAGGGCCCCAGTTTGCAGAAGTGTTTGTCATTATCTGGTTTGGTGCAGTGACCATCACCCTCAACTCCAAACTTCTTGGAGGAAACATGTGAGTATTATTAAGATCTCTCCTTTTTCATGTGCTAGGTAGCATATCTTAGGATTTTAAGGGAGTGTGGCTAGTTAGGTAATTTTTGAAAAGAAAAATCAAAATAAATGAGGGACAAAAAGAATGTTCTCCTAAAACCACTGAACAGAGATAAGCTGGTTGAGTTAAAATATCCTAAATCATCCAGAGTCCGTTGATAAGCTTCAGGTGCTCTCTCCAGCCCTAAAATCGTAAGCAGAATTTTGTGTGTTAAGAGGATTATGTCCATTTAGGGGAACAGATGGTCCATAGCTTTCAACAGTTTCTCAACCAGGTCTCTAAACTAGAAAAGATTAAGAACTACTGTCTTAGAGGTTCAGTGGGAGAAAGAGGCCTTTAGGAATTAGTGGATCATCTGATATCCTAGATTGGGTGGGGAGCATCCAGCTAACATCACACGCCCCACCAAATTAGCCTGACCAAATATAGCAGGCTAATTTTTAAGCTGAGAATTTTGTATGGCCCGCGAATGGTGCTATGAATATCCAAATGGCCCTTGGCAGACGAAAAAAGGTTCCCCACCCTTTTCTAGATGGTTGACTCTTGAGTTTGAAAGGAGAGAAGGAAGAGTATGGAGAGAAAAATTAAAAGCATCCAGAGGCCTAGCCTCATAAAAGCAATGTTAGGGTATAGGTATTATGTAGAAATCTGTGTAATAGCTATCATGATGCAGGTCAGCTGTATTTTTTTTTATGGGTATGTGTTGTTTTCTAGATCTTTTTTTCAGAGCCTCTGTGTGCTGGGTTACTGTATACTTCCCTTGACGGTGGCACTGCTGGTTTGCCGACTGGTGCTTTTGGCCAAGCCAGGACCAATAAACTTCATAATCCGGCTTTTTGTGGTGATCATGATGTTTGTCTGGTCTATAGTAGGTAAGAATATACTAATCTTTACAATAGCAGAGCAGACAAAAGCACGTGTTAGAGATGAAGACCAGATGAGAAGCAGTATAACTCCTAACTCACATGGGAGCAATATGATTCTTGCCTGTGTTGTCTATAGAACCCTCTGCTCTAAATGGGCATTGTTCGATATGATGTCCATCTTATCTGAGTTGGGTATCAGGACTTCTAAGATGTGGGGAGTGGTATGTCTCTTTAAAAAAGTCCTTAAATATTGCATAGGGTTGGAAAAGGAGATTCCACTGGACCTAGCTCAGTCCTGGCGTACATAGGAGGCATAGGTGACTTGAGAAACGACGGGCCTTTTCCTGACAAAGTATTCATAAGAAAAACAATTGCTAGCATTTATAGATTGCTAATCATAGGTCAGGCACTGTTGTAAGTGCTTTAAATGTGTTATCTCAGTGACCCCTCACAGTGGCTCTAATAAATTAAAGCTGTTAGCAGTCGTCCCGTTTTTATGCATGAGGAACAGACAGAGGTGAAGCATCCTGCCTTAGGACACATGACTACTGCATAGGGGAATCCAATTTCAAAGCCAAGCAGATCACATATCCACTTAGAACTTGACTGGACTACCTCTCAGTATGGGTTAAGTGTCATTATATAGTACTTTACTGCTTCTGGAGAAAATTCTGCTCAAGATTAGGACAACCGTACAGCGGTGGCATTGAGTGCTGTGTGCTCATTGTTCTCACATTCCTAAAGTTCTCAAGTTCCACCTTACACCAGAAGTGTTCACTAGCATCTTAAAAAATGGGATAAACAGACTACCTACCTAATATTTTTAAGTGCAGTAACATCTCTTTGCTTGGAACATGGTTAAAAGCCAAATAGTAATAAAAATAAAAAAAATAAAAAACAGTCCGAGAGTGCCAGAAATGATACTCCAAAGACTGTATATTAAGCTTGGGTGCTTTACCCATGGGAAAGCCCCAGATGTCCTCAGAGTTTGACCATTTATCATACATGTGATTCTGAATAGCTTAGTTATCCAGTGTCCAGGCCCAAAGCAGTTCAGAGAGTAGAATGTTAGAAGCTTTCATGCTTTAATTCAGCAAGTGTTTATGAAGCACAAACTGTGTCAGGCGCTGTGCCTGGCATGTTCTCCATCTTCAGAGTTCACAATGCAGTGGATCAGCCAGACCTGGAAGGACTGACAGACAGTCAAGCGTTCCAGGTGGGAGGTGGAAGTCTGTGTAGGCGCAGTGGGACCGCAGAGGAGGGAAGTGGGCGGACCCACCTCTGCTGGCCGGGGACCAGCTGGTTGTTCAGGAGAGATTGCTTTGCAGGGTTATCACTGATAATTAGGTGTTTCCTGGGCAGACAGGAGGGAGGGATGGCATCTGAAAGAGCTGAGAACTTAAGAAGAAAAACAATGACTCCAAAGGCCTGTCAGTATAAGGCCATTTGGCATAGTAGCAAAAGAAACCTGGCACATTTTTAGAAGCCCATTCAGCGCAGTTTAAGGATTTCTCAGAAAACAGTAAGAAGCCCCTTTTAGAAGGGTTTCCATCTGAAATGCTGAAAACTTGCAAAGCTTTGGTCCTTGAAACAAGCATCCCTGAGCTGTCTGGAAAACGGGGCGGCAGGGTGCATTTTTCTCGGGGGGCGTGAACATGAGAGAATAACCCTGTTCCGGACTATGCCGCGCATACTGAAGTTAGTAAGTGTTCCTAGTGACAGCCTCACATGCAGTCTCATTCGTTCTGTTTTGTTCCTGCAGCCTCTACAGCCTTCCTTGCTGACAGCCAGCCTCCGAGCCGCAAAGCCCTGGCCGTGTATCCTGTTTTCTTATTCTATTTTGTCATCAGTTGGATGATTCTCACCTTCACTCCTTAGTGAATCAGGAAGTGGAAATGAAAACCCAGTGAATTGAAAGCTCATCTGAACAATGCAATTCACCCTGGAGCTTTGTCTCTGGCCCTGTTTTGTCTCATTTTGGAGGTATTTTGTGAGGAGATGATAAAGGAGCCATAAAGCACTGTCGCCACTTATGTAAGGAACTGATGTTTGAAAGGCTGTTCTTTTGTCTTAACGTCATTTCTCTAAGATACATGCGCATAGTACACACAGTATCGCGCCTTCTTCAGGCGTAATAGGGTCACTGCGGTCCTTTGGGTGACTGCTGATGGCCCGGAAAGCACACGGATGCGTCCCGCACGTTGAATAGATGTGGTAACTCTCTTTGCAGTTTTGAGAATCCCAGTTTAGGCGTGGCTCTTAAACACATTGTCTTATGACTGTTAGAATATGCCTCTCTTATTAGAATACATAAGTCTGTCGTCATTTTCTTTTATTTCTGTCTCATGTTTAAAAAGGCAGTGACAGACAGGGTTCATGGGTGTGGGGGGGAGAAACATTCATTAACCATATTCAGATTTTGATCATAGAAAATTCTGCACTTGTTGCTTTTTGAAAAAGCAAGAGATATTTCAAGAATCAGCATCTTTTCATCTTTCTGTATCATCACCTTACTGCCATGCTTAACAGTACCTCAGTGCCACCCTGGTTCTGATCTCACACCCTAGCTCTCAATATGCGAGCTGAGATGTTAGCATCTCCTTTTCCCTTGGCTGAAGCTCTCAGTGGTCCAGTGCTTGACTTGGTCCAAGTAGAACGCCTCCGAAATATCGATTGGTGGGTCCCTAAGGCATATTACCCTGTGGGCACCTTCTCTTAAAGGTAGAATGAGGCAGTTCGAATATAGCATAGCTGTAAGGAATTCTTCATGATTCAGTGGCCTGTGGCCTGTAACTGGAAAGTAAAGCTAAATCTCAGTCCTGCATTTAACCATGTGAACAGGGAGAGGTTTACTGTTCTGATGGCCGATTCATAGAACAGCTCGACGCTCGAAGCGTGATGTGGGCTGAGCTGGCTTTATAACTGCCGCCTTTTCCTCGTGGGTCCAGCACTTTTTTCATTGGCTGTGGTTTGGGTGTTGGGGAATAGCAACTTCGTTTCTTGGTTCTGGACTTCCTTTGTAAAGTTTATTAGCTCTCCTTTAGGCAAGTACTTTTTTGCACATGGGCACCTACTTGTATTCTCAGCTGTTCATGCACACACGTGGGAAGACTTTTCAGGGAGTAGACTGCCTGGAGCAGACTGATGCTGAGCTAAACAGGGCTCCTTGAACGTAACATGAGCTGCTGCCTTCTATAAACTGCACACTGAAGAACTCTTAATAGACAAAGACCAGGAGTCGGGCAGACGTTTATTGTAAATACACAGCTACTTAGAAAGATAGCAGTGTCTTATTCCACGTTTTTCTTTATCATAGAATTTAAATATTTATTCGTTTTGTATTTAAAGACTACCTACACATAGCTGTATGATTTAAAAAACATATTTTCTCCATCCCCAGATTAACCAAGTGAATAATACTTGGACAGTTGGGTTCTTGGAATGATATTCAACTACAAAAGCATTTCAAAGTTGGCCCTCTCTGTCCCAGCCTTAGTTACATATAGGGTGTCTCCCCAAAACTGTATACACAAAAAAGTGTAATCATAAAGCCAGTGTTTATTAAAATACATCTCATTTTCAAAATGTAATAGAATCTACAGACACCCTGTAGATAGTTTTGGGGGGGACACCCTGTATTTGTATTTATTTCAAATTCCCCTTTAAATTTAAAAATAAACCCTGTCGGAGTACTAACTCAGTGCTTCAGTTAGGTAAAGAAAATACTGTGAAACTGGTCCTAATTTTGAAATTAGTCCTAAATTATCATCCATAGCCATTGTCTGAAATCTTCTAACTGTCACTAAAAAGATCTCTGTTCCAAAGTTATTTTATAATCTGTCCCAGTGATTATAAGATTAAAGAAACAACCATGCTTCTCAAAAGGGAATTAAGTATTTACCAAATTTTACTTACTCAGGCTAAATATTTGGTGAAAAATTCTTAAGGCCACAAGTCTGCGGGGAGTGTGTGTGTGCGCGTATGGGAGGGGGTTGTATATAGTGGGTGTGGAGGCAGTTCTGTATATTAATCTGTTGTTCTTGGGTGTCTTAGCGAGTGGTGTTACTTCATTTAAATGAAGGTGGGTAAAATGAAATTTAATTATCTTTCTGAAAACGAGTAGTCAGTTTGAGGATATAAATATTTTCCTACAACACGCAAAAAGGGCATTGGATTCTGTGACAGAAGATCTGAGTACGTTCCATGGCTAATTATAGAGAGGACGACCAGCAGGGAAGGGGACTGCAACACAGGCAGCCCTGTTCCGGGAGGGGGGACGTTGCGCACGTCAGTGGAAGCGGGCACCGCTGCCAGCCCGGCTGATCCCTGCTGCTCCTAGTCTGAGATCGAGACTCCACTGTTATACTCTTGAGCAATAGGAAAGGTGAAGACTGCATTTAATCGCTGTCCAGATTATAAAAACTCAGTTGATCCAAACATATCTGAATATGCAGTGTAGGCTTCGAAAGTCAGTCGAGTAATTGTCAAGTCTTTCACCTCTTACGAGGCTTATTACATGGGTTGAATTGGGGGTTTTCTGTTAGACAAGGTGGAGTCACAGGGCACGAGACTGGAAGCATTTTGCTGTTGACTAGAATTATCTCTTTATGAAGTGCCCCCTGAAATTGTTTGGAAGGCTAGTAAGCTTGTATATGAAGACCTAATTATGGACTTTGTATATTCTGTTTATTGGATCTCCTGTTTACTCCTGGAGATGAATGAAAATTTCCTGTCTTTCCAGAATTTCGGGTAACATCAACCATTGGAATTTATCTAAAGCCTAGCAGTGTGTGACCCGAAGTCCATAGCATGCGACTGTTTTATTCCAGAGTAAAGTTGTGAAATTGTGATTCTCACACTGTTAATTTCTGAGGCAATTTAGACCGAAATAAATGTGTGAATGTTAATCCATGTATGTAAATTAGAAGTAATTTTTTAGATTCTGTGGGCTTTTATTAAAAATAAAGAATTTTTAGGGGTTTACTTAGGCCATAGGATGGCTGAATATTAATGACAATAATATTACTACTAATAATAGCTAATATTTATTGGGCAGTTACTGTGTGCCAGGCACTATTCTATTTTTTTAAGAATTTTTTATAGCTTTATTGGGATACCTTAACCATAAATTCACCCTTTAAAAGTGATGTACAGGTCAGTGATTTTTTTTTCCAATATAGTCACATAACTGTGCAGCTCTCCCCGCTTTAGTTTGAGAACATTTCATCACTCCTCAAAGACAACCCGTATCCATTAGCAGTCACTCCCTGGTCCCCTTCTCCGGAGCCCCTGGCAACCACCAGTCTGCTTTCTGTCTCTCTGGATTTGGCCGGGCACTGTTCTTAAGTGCTTTTCATGCATCTCTAATCCTCAGCATAAAGCACTACAATTCTCCTTTTACAAGGAGAAAATCGAGGCACAGAAAGGTTAAGTAAATTGGTTTAGAAGAGGAAAAACAGTGGACAGAGCACAGTAGGGCACAGTTTGGAATTGCATTGTTATGTACATGAAATGAATATACCCCTTCCCCAGGGTCCAGTCCCTGTTATTACCCATTACACTCTACAACTGACTGAAGGTAGATAACTCTGGATCTTTTTTCCTGGATATAATAGAACACAATATTAGCAGCATCTGAGAAAACACAAGAACAGTTGTACATTGGGAAGTGTTAGGTTTGCTGCCCTTTTCCCTCCTCAACCCCCTCTTCTCTCCCCTACCCTTTTTCTTTTAAAGTCTTAAGGATACAACAACTTCTGCCTTTTAAAAAATTCTCCCAGGGATGGTTAATGCATCAGAATTTCACTTGTCTCTTCAGATGTTTACCTCGCTCTCTTCACTGTCCTCAGGGAGAAAGTCCGAAATCTTCAACTTCACCGTAAGGCTCACTAAGATCTGTCCCTTTCTTATTGTCCCAGCTTTATCTCCCCTCCCTTTGCAGTCTCTTCTCAGATGTCAGAATAGAATGCCTTTCTATTTGGGTTGCACGAGGTGGGGGAAAGAAAGAACAGAGTGAAGGCTTTGTGCTAATGCGATCAGTGCTCCTGCCTGGTAGGAAGTGGCCACACACTGCTCTTGTTCGCTCTGTGCTCGTTCTCGCTGAGCCTTTGTGCTCCGCGCAGTCCTGCTGGTGACTTGGGGGAAACTTCAGTGCTCCATTTTAATCCTGCTCTTTCCTATAAATAATGAATCTGTGAAAAGAATAAATCCGTAACGTTATTTGTGAATGTTAAATGTGCAAATAAAAACACTGGAAAAGGAGACTTTGTGTCGCCCTGTTCTTGTGCTGAACGGCACGAAGGTATTTGCAGCACACAGTCAAACCTTGACATGACGGACCCATTGGGGCAGGGGTGTCCCTTAAAGCCGGAAGGCCGCTATATAATACAGGAGGTTTTCCAAATGTGCATGTTTATCGTCAACAGATGCATCTGGTTGCTCATAGTACTGGTTCTATTCCTAAGACCTCAGAGGTTTGATTTCCTCAGCTATGCAGTGGGAATAACATCTATTTATTCACAGATAATGACTGAGGATCTGCTAAGTGAGTAGAACAGTGAACAACACAGGCGTGTCCTTCCTGAGCTCACATTGTAATGAGAAAGCAGACATTGCCAAAATAATTACAACAAATGGTAATTCCTAAGGGAGTGCACAGATGGAGGGCTTATTAAGATACCTGGAGTAAATCAGGTAAAAAATGAGGTAAAGGGAGAGCATCCCAGTAGGGGGGAATTCAGTGTACAAAGACTCACAAATAAAGAGGGAATGTGCCCTGGCCAGTCTGGCTCAGCGGAGTGTCGGCCTGTGTGCCAATGAGTCGCAGGTTCGATTCCGGTCAAGGGCATGTACCTCGCACCTTGGTTGCAGTTCGTCCCAGCCCTGGTCAGGGGCATGCGGGAGGCAACCAGTCGATTGAGTTTCCCTGTCTCCCACTCTATTTGATGATAAATGGAAAAATATCCTCGGGTGAGGATTAAAAATAAAAATTCAAAAAGGGAATGTATTGTTTTTGAAAAAAAAAAAAAATCCAGTAACTTACTCAATGCCATTCATGTGGTAAATAGCAGAGCTCTATTTTGAACCCAGATCTGATTTCAGAGCCAATGCCTTTCCTTTGTGTCGACTGCTTCCACGTGGCTTCTGTCAGGTAGGGGGACTACAGGTTTTTAGGACCTGAAGCCCGGCTCTCTGGGGCAGGGGGCGTCCGTCCCTACCTGGCCTGGGTAGAGCAATCGTTAACTTTTCTCAACAACAGCACGGAGGTAAGAACTGGCCTCTTACCATGTCCTTCCTCTGGATCATCACACTTTTGAACAGGGCCTGAGCCAGAAGTGGGAGGGAAGCTAAATAGTGAGCGGTGCTGGGATGAGGAAGTCTGTACCTTCAGAGGGAAAAGGCAGGGCATGCGTAGGATGCTTTTGAGGGTAAAGGATGAAGGCCCCGGTGATACAGGAGAGGGGCATGAGCACTCTCTACATTAAATTAAGTCAAAATCGGCTGACTCGAGAGGCAAACAGACCACAAGGAGCCTCCGCAACAAAGAAAATTCCTGCAAAGGATGATGAATAGCTACTCGCCCATATCTTATCATTTACCCATACCATAAAGGGAAAGCAGACCGCAAAATATACGAGTGGTGACTCTGGGCTTTAAAGATGTAGACTATAGCTGGAGATAGGTAATATTTATGTCAGCGAAATTACTACAGTGTTTTCTAACATATGGCTTATTCGCTAAAATTGGTTAAAAATAACAGTGAATTTGGCCCTGGCCAGTGTGGCTCAGCAGACAGAGCATCAGCCTGCGCACCGAAGGGTCCCAAGTTCGAGTCCCAGTCAAGGGCTGTGGGGAGGCCTGGGGTGGCCAGCACTGCAGACGAGTGGGTAATCGTCATTCTGAGCTGCAGTATTAGGAAACGAACGTGGCCACAAATGTTGGGATTCCAGCCCTGAGTATAAAGAGGAGGTTTTGTCCATGTCCCTTTCTCCTTTGTCTTATTTCTCACACGGTTTAGAGGATTTGGACCCTGTCGTCCTCCGACAAGTCTTTTTTTAAAAAAACATTTTTTTCTTTATTGATTTTAGAGAAAGAGTAAGGGAGCGGAAGAGAGAAACATCGATGAGAGAGAACATCGATGGGTCGCCTCCCGCATGCCCCCCACTGGGGATCAGGCCCACAACCTGGGCATGTACCCTGACCGGGAATCAAACCGGCGAACTCTTTCTTGTTGTTGTTTGTTTGTTTGTTTGTTTTTTAATCCTCATTCGAGGACATTTTTCCATTTTTTGTACAGAGTGGGAAGGAGAGAGAGGAGGAAGAGAGAGAGATGGAAACATCGATGTGAAAGGGACACATCGAGTGGCTGCCACCTGCACGACCAACCAGGGTCGGGGACAAACTGCAACCGAGGTACATGCCCTTAGCGGGAACCGAACCCGGGTCTCTCTTGACCGCAGGTGAACGCTCTAACCGCTGAGCCAAACCGGCCAGGGCAAACTGGCGAACTCTTGGTGCAGGGGTCAATGCTCAACCACTGAGCCACACCGGCCAGGGCCTCCAACAAGTCTTTTACTCCCATCCTCAGAAGTCAGGTGTCTATCCTCTGAAAGAAATGAAGGACTTTTGTCTAACAAAATTGACCTACTCCAGAGAAAATACTTCCATATTCTGACATTTTGGGGTTTCTTAGTATATTGTCTAGCTTACCACCCAATCACTCTAAAATGAAGTTTGCCAGTCAACACACCACTCACATCAGCTAGCAACCAGATTTTTAAATGTTTATTTTTAAATTATTTCAGATTTACAGAAAAGTTGCAAAAATACTAAAAGAATTCCTGTAAACCATTTACCCACATTCCCCAGTGTTCACATATTACCATATTTGCATTGCTTCATCCTATCTACCTATACCAACCCATCATATATCTATACTATATATATATATATATATATATATATATATATATAAAATTTCAGTCATGATGCTCCTTACTCTTAAATACTTCAGTGTCAATTTCCTATGAATGAAGACATTTTCTTATATAAACACACTATAGTTATTAAAATCATAAAATTAACAGATATAATACTATAATCTATAAACCTTATTCAGATTTAACCAATTGGTTCACCAATGTATTTAAAGCAAAATAAAAATAAGTTCTTTTTCTGGGCCAGGATCTAATCCAATCTCCTTTAATTTGGATCAGTTCCCTTATCTTTCTCTTTCTTCACATGACCTTGACACTTCTTTAAAAGTACAGGCCATCATTTTTTTTCAAATAGGTTTTCAATTTCTTGCTCTCTATCTTCTCCTTCTGGCATGCTTGAAGTTGTCCCAGAGGCTCCTTACACTATCCTCATTTTTTTGGATTCTTTTTCTTTTTGCTGTTCTGATTGGGTGTTTTTTTATTCCTTATTTTTCAAATCACTGATTTGATTCTTGGCTTTATCTACTCTTCTGTTGATACCCTGTAAATTATTCTTCATTTCCGTTAGTGTATCCCTCATTCTGTCTGGTCCTTTTTTTTATGCTGTTGAAGTTCTCACTAAGTTCCTTGAGCATCCTTATAACCAGTGTTTTGAACACTCCATCTAGTAGATTGCTTGTCTCCATTTTGTTCAGTTCTTTTCCTGGAGTTTTGTTCTGTCCTTTCATTTGGGACATGTTTCTTTGTCTCCTCATTTTGGCTGCCTCCCGGTGTTTGTTTCTCTGTATCAGGTAGAGCTACTATTGTCTCCTAGGCTTCCTGGGGTGGCCTATTGTAGTAGGTGTCCTGTAGGGTCCAGTGGCACAGCCTCCCTGGTCTCCCTAGCTGGGCCTTCCAGGTGCACCCCTTGTGTGGACTGTACACCCTTCTGTTGTAATTGAGTTTTGATTGCTGTTGGCACATCAGTGGGAGGGATTTACTCAGGCTGATCAGCTGCAAGGACTGACTAACCACTGATCACTGACCTCTGCCTACCTTGGAGGATCAACTGTGCAGGGCCCACCACACAGAGCAAGACTTACTTCAGCAGGGCTCTGGTACCCACTGAGTCCACTCTTTGAGTGTGTCTATTGTGTAGGTGGTTGGGTGGTGGTGCTTTGACGTGGTTTGAAGCTGTCCACTGGGTGTGCTGGCTCTGGGGCCCCTGAGGAGGCGCAAGCCAAGGTCAGCCACTGCCTGTGTTCTGCCTGGGGCCACCAGGCATAAGCTACAAAACTATCTTCAGATGGCTGCTTCTTGTGCTGGGCTTGGAGGTGCCTAGGTGAGACCAAGCTGTGAACCAAGGCTGGCTGCTTCTAGTGCCAAGCCTGGGACCACTTATTGCGAGGTATGGGGCTCGCTGAGGCCAGATGCTGCTTGTTTGCGAGAATTTAGGAAAATCCAAAGCATGAGCCAAGACAGGCCATTCCTATGGTAGAGCCACTGGAAACAGCCTGGGTGGGCCTGAAAGTTGGGTGAGGCAGGGCCTCAGGGAATCACCAGGGCAGGGGGAACAGTGTGAAGCAGGTTGATGGAGTCTCAGCTATGGTGCCCGCCTGCTGGCTCTGTGTGGGGAGGGCTCAGCAGAGGAACCATGGCCTCTGCCAGCACTTCTGTCTGGGAGAAAGCTGCCCGCCCAGCTCTCACCCTGATGCCGGGCAATTCAGTTCCTCCCTGTATGTCTCTGGTACCTTTTGAGCTGCCTGCCCTATGCTGGAGCCTGGAGGGAGCGTCAGACTCAGTCCCTGTCGGGCCCTTTAGGAGGAGCTGCCTGGGGCTCCAGCAGCCTCAGCCTCCCTCAGCCTCAATGCCCACTGGTTTTCCAGCCAGAAGTGATGGGGACTTCTCTTCCTGGCACTGGAACCCTGGGCCAGGGGGCCTGGTATGGGACGGGGTCCCCTGACTCCTCAAGGAGGACCTTCCCAGCTGATTTTTACCCACCACACGTGTGTGTGGGACCAGCTCGTCGGAGTGCCCCCCCTTACCAGTCTTGACGTGGCCTTTTCTTTAATTCCCTACTTGTATGATTCGCATTCAGCCCAATTTCCGGTGGTTCTGCATGGTGAGCATACTGTAGTTTAGTTGTAGTTTTTGAGGAGGAGATGATACCGCATTTACCTACACCACCACCTTGCCCGGAAGCGTTTGCTCTTATTTTACACGTGAGGAAACTGAAGCTCAGAGAGGTGAATGTGAGTGGCAGAACACAGGGACATTACTTCCAACGCCACATGAACGTAATTCCAGGCTCCAGAGCCAGAGGGAGAG